TTTTTAACTGGGCAGCTGAGCCTAGTCTTTGTGAAATGCACACACAACCAGTAACCAGTACCTCTGGAGAGCCTTGTACTGCAGTTGTGCCTACAAATCCAAATTAAATATAAAGTGCTCCACATAAAACAAAGAAGGTCTTGACCATAGAAACAAGCCTCAGTTGAAAAAAAAACTTAAAATAGAATTAATGTGTTTGTCCAGTTTTAAGTTGCTGTCCATTTTCCCACACCAGAACAACTGGGCTTTAGTCTTGCTCTCATTAAACTAAAAAAAAGTGAGGCCATCAGGTTTTGATGCCATCAAAATGTTCAAACAAATTTTAATGAGAAGCAGTAATTTGCTTTCAGGGGCAAATGGGTTTGGGAATCATCAGCATAGAACTGGAAAGACATCGAATCTTTTCAGAATTCACCCTAGATGAAGTAAACACAAAGAGAAAAGAATCGGCTCAAGAACAGAATCTTGTCGAACTCCACATAGGAGTGGTGCAGAGCGAGAATTTGAGCCCCAGAAAGTGACCTTAAAACATCTTTCTGAGAAGTTAGTATGACCTAAACCACTCTAAAGCTGCGACTTTTACCCCCACACAGTGCTTGAGACAAGAAATAAGAATACTGTGATTGACAGTATCAAAGATCTAAAATCTAGAATAACAAATTCCCCAGAGTTGGTAAATAAAAAAAGATAATTAAAAACTCTTAAGACAGACAATTCTCTGCTGTGAAATGCCTTAAAACCAGATCACATGGGAATAGTCTAGTCTTGCATGTACTTTTTTAGTCCATCAGCTAAATGCACAAAAGAATTTAGTTATAAAATAAAGAGCTGAAATATAGTATTGCATGTAGTATTAAAAACAAAGAAGTATCCACAGCAGCCCCCGTCTGAACCTTTCCTGCTGTATTTTTGACTTCTGATGTTTTGGGTTTTTTTGTTTGTTTTTTTTCCTGCTGCTTCCCTTCCTGGTGAGCTTTACTGTTTCTCCCTTCCCATTTCACTTTTCAACCAATCGACATTCAGCCGATGCGTAGGCCATTATTTCCAACAACATGCAATATGGCTGTTCCGTATGTTGCTCATAATGAAAAGGACATCTCTCTGCTTCTGCTTCCTGATGAATGTCTCTCTACTTGACTCAATAAATCACTATCTTTGTCAAATA